ATGAACTTTGTCAGCCTAGGGATTATAATCTCCCATTTTATTTCCTTTATGAATGCATCTATTAATGATAAATTGCACTTACTTATTTCATTACACTTTAATGATTCACCTTAGCACCTTTACTTTTCTAAAACAGCTTACTATCCCTTGTAAACGTTGTACTTGCCTCAATACTGGTTGGTTATCGCATGCCTACAACCACGGGTTGAAAACGAAACGAAGTCGATTTTCCCGCACAACCTGGAGGACTACTGTACAATTCAATAATTATACGGCCTGGTTCAGACAATGAGTGTATTTACATTTATCAAATATTCAGCTATATATGTCAAAAAACCAATTTCAGTTTTAACGGTTTGAAAAAATTTGGGCATTGGGTATATGATATTCATTATAATAAAGGTTTTCGTATTTCCTAATGAATGTAAAAACAATATCGTTTTGTTTTTCATTCATCGGGAAATACAAAATCCTTTATTATAACAAATATTCGGCTGTTGAATCATTATTAACTTGTAGACAGTCTACTATCTGACATCTTATCATACTTGATCGTGCCTGTGAAAATGGCATGCATTTTCATGTAATTTTATGTTTATATGAAAATATACATTATTATTATAGCACTAATGTCAGGTCAGTTCTTCTGTATAGTTCAGACCATTTCCAGGAGGCTACTTCGGGTTTTATTTACATCTGTTTTCACTCCCGATCAGATGGCTGCCCAGAAAAGGTTGGCTACAAGGAACACTGGTTACAACCTACTACACGGCAAATAAACGGAGATGAATCAGATACACGTTAAGGAGACTGTTGTTTTTATTTATTTAAACGGAGAAAAACTTGGTACAATATGGCATTAAGACGATGCACCGTACAAAAATAATAAAACAAAATAGATTAAAAGTAAAAAATTTAAGTGGAGAACGGATAAAGAACTTCGTCTGGAAGGAAAATAGTCATACTTAACAAGTTCAAAAAGTATTCGTTAACTGTCATCGGGAAAAAAAGAAAGAAGGAAATTGCAACGTTCACCATTGATTACGAATTTTGGCCATATCCGATAGCGTTTCGAGCCATTGGGTCGAGCCATCTCCTGGATTCCTTCCAGAGAATGACGACGCACTAACCGGTGCTAATTTAGCACAAATTTCTTTTTCATCCGACGACGCTACTCCTCACGACCTCCACTGCTTTTACATCCCGTCCAGCCCTCTACGGAAGCCTCTGGGATGACATTCGCAGCACATGTTCAAGCCATCAAAGCCGGTATTTTCATATGACGACACTTAAAAATGGTGATCTCGACTGCGTTCAGAATTACCCACGCGATAACGCCATCAAACGCAAGCCATCCTATGGGAACATCGATGATCGAACACACAGAGCCGGCGCATATCCTCAGCTTGGAGAGGCCAGGTTTCACAGGTGTAGAGCAAGACAGCCCGCGCTGAAGCATTGTATACTCGACCTGTGAGAGCCAGGATAACGTCGCAGCGGCGCTAAAAATGGCTCAAGTTGATGTTTGCCACCCTAGCCTTCATTATACGGTTGGAAATCTCATCCGTCACCCCTTCGCCAGCACTCACACAGCTACCCAGATATACAAACTCATCAACAACTTCAAGCGGTTCACCTGCAAGAGTGACTGCAGGTACAGATTCCTGCCAATCTTGTAACAGTACTTTGCACTTAGACGGCACAAAACACACACCATACACACATACACTGATCGCCAAGTGATTAAGTGCGATCTGAACAGCCTGCATGCTGTCACACAGTAAGACGATACCGTCTGCATACTTGAGGTCGAAACGTCCCTCTACAGGAAGAGTACCTACACTGGCACCGCGCATGTTAAAGAGAAATGGAGACATTAGGTGACCCTGTCTAACCCCATTGTTGTTTGAGAATAGCGATGATAGCTGGTTGTAAGGCCTCACTAAACCCGAGGTATTAATGTATGGGACTTTTAGGAAGTTGACAAACTTCTCAGTTAAACCATTCTTTCTAACAGACATTTTCAGAGAACAGTTCTATCCGACGATTCGAAGGCAGCCCTAATAACAAGAAACACAACGATTGTTGGCCTGCAGTACGTGTGACGGTGTTCCAACAACTGACGAAGGGTGAACACGTGATCAATGAATCCACTACATAAACGAAACTCAGCCTGCTCTTTGCGAAGCAATCCTTCACATGTTTTGCACAGCCTGCGGAGCAAAGCAGCAGCCAATATTTTAGATGCAACTGATAGCAGACTGATACCCCTATGATTGTCACATGAATCACTTCGACCCTTTTAAAAGATGGGGACGATAATGACTTCGTTCCACATTGATGGTGCACTCTCAGTCTCTCTTACCTCCCTGAATAATGCAGCCAGAGCCATTACGAGAGTCTCGTCACCATCTTTAAAAGGAGCCAGGGGTAGATTGTCTGGGCCGGGTGCCTTATGGCGTTCTAACACTTGGAGTTCCTTACAGACCTCCAAATCGGTGGGTGGGTCGGTATTAACCGACCAAGGAGCACTGGAGCTAGTGACAGAAGATACTGAAGCTGGAGGCCAGCTAAACTGTTTCTCGAAGTGCTCTGCCCAGCGTTCCAGGCGTCTTTTCAGGCTGGTATTAGGCGTGCCATTTGCCTCACAGACCGTCTTGTTGACACCTTTTCTTGCTGCCGGCGGCTCGAATGAGTTGGAACAGCTTCCAACCGCTGACAGATGCAGCAGCTGACTCCATCTCACGCGCACGTTCTGACCACGAGGCTTCGTGGTTTTTACGTAAACACTGTCTAATCTTGCACGCAAGCGCCTTTCGCCTATTGTTGTATTCGCTGCCAGCCGGAATGGACCGGCGCAGAAATCCAGTGGTTTTAAGGGCAGTATTCTGTCAAGCCGCAAGTGGCTACACTCGCCATTTGCGTGGCACCCTGCAGATGAAGCCAGTGTTCATTTGTACTACTTGGGGTTTGCTCTCAAGCACTGATTGTAGCTGATTCTGGTATTTCAAAGTAGCAGGTACTACTAGTTTGCTCACATCAACGTATAGACGACGTCTTTTATGAACCTCACCAAATCGCAAGACGAACCTGACACACACTAACGCATGATCGGAGTCCAGGCATGTGCTCAAGAAGGAGCGACAGTCTTGTATGCATCCTCGCCACCGGAAACTGACATCAATATGATCAATCTGAGTCCAAACTTTATTCTCAGAGGGAGGACACCAAGTGGCGCTACAGTGATGGCTGTGTCGGAAGTTGGTGCTGGCTGGAAATACGTTGTGATCTGCGCAAAGCTGCTGAAGATGGTCCCCATTATCTGACCAGTGGCCATGTAATTCGCACTGACCACATAGACGACTCTCCTCTGAGCTTAAACGCCCAACCTGTGCATTCAAGTCACTAGCCAGCACTACGATATCCCTCCGACTCTCCTGTTTCAAGAGATCACTCAGGAGGTAGTAGAACTCCCCTTTAATTGCATTCGGCTGCAGTCCGTTGGTGCATAGGCGGAGACAACAAATAGACACCGCCTATCTGGCCCACTACTCCTTACTTTCGAATAACCTTCCAGCCTCACAGCGCATAAGCGACTGTTAATGGGAATCCAGCCGAGCAGTGCAGCTTCGGCTCTGGGGCTCAGTGCGACACCGACACCAGCTACGTGGGATGCTGGCACCACAGGCTCTTCAGACAAGCGCAGGTGGTACGTCCCACTAGAACTTCCAGATGGAGAGAATAATCGAAGCACTTCACTGGGATCTTGAACGCGGGTCTCCGAAATACAGCAGATATCCATAGCGAGGCTTTCCAATGTTCTAACCAACCCTGCCTGTTGTCCAATTTGCATCAGCGTCCGAACATTGTAGGTGGCCAGCTTGAACGCGGCACGCGGTTTCAGGACATCTGTGTTAGATGTTGCATTGAGGACATCCATTTTGAAGGATACTGACTAACATCTCGAAACAGCACAGATAGGCCGGGAATCCAAACAAAGGCGAAAGGCTGTCGAACGTGAAGAAGTCAAGGTTAGCATAGGTAAAATACAGGAGTCTATGTATAAAAATAATAGTAAAGTTGGGAACACATAAGTTACTTGAGACATTATTATTGCTTGAAAGCATTGTTACGAGCGCGTGATAAGTTTCACTGATAGTTTTTCGCTTCATTTCATTTATTGTGTGAGGGTTGAGATACTGCCCGGACGCCTAAACCGAAGCAGGTGTTTTTTTTAAGGGACGAACCCCTGAGCCTTTTACTTGGAGTCTAATCAACAAGGCAGCGGAGCAGCTTCAGGAGCTGCATTCTCATGGTTGCCGGTGACCAATATGGGATCGTACGCCATTTGATCCGATTGGATTCTGGAGCCCATGCACCCCATGGTAACTGCTCTTAGTCTAACCTCTATCCAAACAACTTTCCTGACATGGTAGGATCTGCAGGAACATGAGTCCCAGCCAGTTTAGCTTGATGGGTCGCTGCGATATTCAAGGCCGACCAACATGACAAGGTAGTAGTTGTCGGTGGGGAGACTGTTGAGTGATGTCCCTTTCCAGGCTATGACTAGTAAACCGCTAGTTGGGCTTCAGCCGTGACATGGAGGCAATGAAATGTGCAAGAATTGGCAGCCTATGACCAGTCATGCAGTCAGATAAAGGGGAGCGAAGAGAACAAGAGGAAATATAGATGAGCTCTTGAATCTCTATAACAAAAAGTAATAATAACAATAGTACAAGTTTAACGAAGATCAGTAACCTATAACTCACAATCAAGAGGCGAGCTCAAAGAAGTAAAATTGGTTGATACTAGGTCGTAAAAACGATATTGAGTATATTGGATGATTACCAATAAAAGTGTTTCTACTTTTTTGGACCACATTCACTCAGCAATTTATAACTTCCTTAAGGTTACAGAAAGCTTTCCTTTTATGTGTGCAGCATCCGGACAATTATTGTCGCTTTGTATTGTCAACGCGACCTTTTGTTTTACTAAATCAGGCGTGCTGTTCTCCTCGTTGACTGGTTGCCGTCTATTTAAATTGCACAACAAAGTGATGGATTCTCCCGAAAACAGGGACTCAACTGGAACGACTGCCGATAGCTGCAGTAACTTTCCCGCGCAAATTATTGACTCTATTCTGAATGGTGACATCTCTGATACTGCGGAGGATATAACAACGGAAACGATTTCTAAAGGAAAGTTGAAGCATGAAATGCGAATGTTGCAAACACGTTTCATGAACAGTGCAACAGCTCTTGAGAATAGCAAAAATCTATCCAAAGCACGGGAGGAAGAGCTTTTGGTGAGTTTGCAAGCTATTACTAGTGCTTGTTGCTTTAAAACAGGCATTATTATAAGCTTGGGTTGTGTCAAAATCATCGCAATATTAATTATTGGAAGGGGTTAAACTGTAGAACTCATTCAGGCGCATTACTTTCCTAAACAGAATGGAGTAGCAGGTAGCATAACGAAGTGTTCCCTCCGATCTGGTATGTCTTTTTGAGTTCTGGGAAGATCGACCGTTTGTTTTGTGCGAATTGTAGATTAACTGAAGTAAGGAAAACATGCGTGGGCGAGAAAAGCCTGATAAGATTAACATTCTTTTCATTGAGATTTCGGGGTGCATTAAACGAATGGATTGGAAATAAAAACGTACCTCTGAACACCACCGGTCAAAAAGTATCACCCCTTCGGTGAACGCTTTCAAAGAGAAATTAGATCTCTGTGAAGGTGTTTATTGCAAGGGTTAACAGAGGCCACAAGAACCTACTATCGTTATTGTCTGTACCAATAGTCGTTTTCTAAAACAATCCACAATTTGTATTTTTGTTTTATTGAATTTGTAGCCAGCCGAGAACAGAGCGCCAAATAGTAGAGAATGAGTTAATTTTATTTAGATACATTTATCGTTCTCACTTTGTCCAAAATATGAAATTATTATTACGCATACATAACTTTTCTGAAACGCTTTTGTCTACGTAAGGTGAGGCATATTTGGTTTTCCGTTACCGTCTGTGCGGGTAAAAAACTGTTGTGCGTGATTTCGTCTTCCTTAAATATATATAGGTTTTAAGTGACATGTTTTTCTGCTGAATATCTTGGTGGTGTAGATTTACCCCAGTTAGCATAACTACCGGTCTTGATCCCACGCTATACAGCTAAGGCGTATGTGATATTTGAGAAATTTTTCGTAGAGCTACGGAACTATAAAACTCTACGAAACTAAATATTTGCGGCCCGCTATTTGACCCTTAGCTTTTAATGCATAATTTGCACTTGTCTGTCAGTTTTGAGTTCCACTTGGAGTGCACTGAGGTCATTCTTCCAATGAGAAGGTAGTCAGTGTCCACCTTTAAATATGTTTCAAAGTTTCTCACCACAAATTCAGCAGATACTCGTCGACATGCTGGTTGGGGGCTTTAATAACTCCGTCTTTTAAGCCTAACACAAGTGCTTAAGCAGTAATTCCTGGGTGGTGGGCTTCAAAGAGAAAAAATTGCCGCGACCTGTCAACACACATCTTTTAGTGAGGCAGTGCCTGTAAAACTGGTACTTATGCAGGAAATGAGGAAACCATTTGATTAACCCTGTCTTTTAACTTGTAAGTCTTTCTTCAGATGTGTGATGAAGGTTATCGATCTGATTGGTGGGATTTCTGAAGGCTGTCTCATTTTATTTTTCTCTAGACATCGTCGCCTAGATCGAATCCTGAATTCTGTGTTTCCAAGGAAGTCTGCTTATAACAATTTATTTAAATACCTTTTTGTCTCCTTTATTTACTTTTGTGTAGTTCATAGAGTGTAGCAATTTAAACCGCTTCACGTCTGCTCAAAGTCCTATGTTGGAAGTCAGTCAGCTGTACTGTGAAGCGTAAAAAATGTTACATGTACACTAAGTTTCGTGCTATATATGCTTTATCTGTAGAGGTATAGCAAAATGACCTACTGAACTTCTGTGCGAAGCTGTTCGTTAAACTGTGTTTGCTTTATGATAAAAATATACTTAGTGTGATAGTAACCAAATTAAGAAGAGAGAGCTACACTGGAAATAGCGACCCGCTGACTAAAGTTCAAAGGTTTATACCGATTTAAACCGTGAAATTCGAATCATTCCCCGCTAGTTAGCGTAGACAAAGCAACGCAAGTGCACATGAAAACTTGTGACACATTATCCAGTCATTCACTATAGAAGTAACAAAATAAATTTCTGTGAAGGTTACCACACAGATAATCAAAGGTGCTGTCATTTATTGTGAATGATAAGACGGAAGACAGTATAATGTTTCTTAATCTATGACTCATTAAATATTTTAATACAACTATTGGAGTGTACTCATTTATTGTTTCAGTCAATTAAATTTGTAAAAGAAGGAATTCATGCTTGATTAATCATATCAAAATAATAAATTTTAGTTTGCATACTTTAAACTTAATTTCTGACTTTGTTGATTGTCACTGTTATGTTTTCCACACCTTGGTGGACAACTAAAAACCTGAGTTTTACATTCTGAGTTGTTGTGAATGGAATGATGAGGAAAATCGTAGTGTTCACTTGTTCACTGCCTTCAGTTATTGTTTATTTCTTAGGCAAAATAGCTCATGAACAAAGGAAGAACAATAAATTGGGTGGGATAATATGACGTCATTTCGTTGATTCTTTTCAACTACATACTGTCTTAAACAGTTACAATACCAATATCAAATTTTTCATACACTCTAATTATAGAAATAGATGTTAGCTATTATGTGACTTTACGAGAATATTATGGGGTGAAGAACAGTAGTTGGATATTAGTCAGGCATTCAGAGGAGATAGGCATCACACATAACAGTTCTGGGTTTCTATGAGACCAAATGATTAAAATAATAACTTGAGCAGAGGTCAGATATTCAAGACAAATTAAGGCTTATGAAATGATACCGTCGAAATTATCTGCGGTAGTAAACTTTGAAAAAAAGTGTTTTCACCAAGGTAGATTGACGACTCTTTGATTCTGAATACACTGGTTGAGTTTCAGTCGTTTATTCGCTACGTCTCCGGTGGTACATGATAGACAGGAATAAGCTTGTACTTTAATTACCATAAATAGTTTTGAAACGTTGGTTTCGTAATCACAAGCAGATGATCAGCGATTACAATACTGGAGACGTTTACAACTTTTGATCTCAATTCCCCTAGAACATTATCGGACATACTGTCAAAAACCCTTCTTTCGGTTCGTCTCATATGTGCTCCTTGACACATGCTTGTAAGTTGTTATATGCACTTATTTTTCCTTCACGTTCCCCAGTGGAACATAGGGCTTCAAGCCAGTGGCTTGAAGTTTCTGTAGCACTGTTTATTTTACAGGATAAGGTTGCTAGCCTCATGCCCAAGCTTTCCTCTTCACCAGCATTATTTCTGGCTTAGCTAGGTAAGGGAGAAGTGCGTCGGCCGGGGATCGAACCCCGGACCATGTGCATGGTTGGCGAGCGTCCTAACCGCTATGCCACCGACGCTGTTATATGCACTTAGGGGTAATATAAATAAAAGGGAGACTCGTCAAAGTTAGATTGTTTCAGTGAGCAATTTAATGAGTGAAATGCGACTAACTTGGCAGATAGATAAGTTCTTTTGAGAACATCATTTACTCACCATATCATTCTTCCAGATACTTCGTCAACTTTGATTTCAAACTTTAGGAAGATTGATGTTTTCTTAAGTGTATCAATCTTTGCTTTTGTATTTGTTCTCTTGTGTTTATAAAAAATAACCTGGAAAACGTTCAGCCTAAGACAGCACAATACAGTCATCACCACTTGAATTTTTGAGGATTTCTGAAACACATCGTAACTTCTCATACATGTCATTCGTTTCCTCCATTTCTTTTACACTTTTAGGATCAGATCAATACACTGACAATTAGATTAAATTTAGCCACAGCTCGTTATGATGCACTGGTTGAGACTACAACAGAATCCGCCGAATTAAAAGCTGATTTGGTCCAAGCTATAACCTGTAAACGAAGATTGTTGAGTGAAAATGAAGAACTTCATAGTCAGCTGAATTTAATCCGTGAAATTCTTATCACTAAATTACCGAAGAAAGTCGATGCTACTATTGATATGGATATCAGCAATTACTCAACATTAACTTCAACTGAATTCGATGTATTGAATAAAAGATCTGTAAATAATTTGTCAACTTTAGAGTTAGTCAAGTTTTGGGTACATACAGTATTCACTATTATTTCACAGGTATGTTTTTAATGGATTTATCATTCGTGCTTTCTTTTCTTAACCAATTAAAAAAAATGTTATTCTTCTAATGAAATTTAAGTAACAGCGTGTTGGGAGTTTATTGAAAGACTTCAGGTAAACATGATATTATGGAATAGATATCTACGTGTATTAAGAATTATTCTGCAGAAAAATGAGAATCATTGTTTCATGAAAGACAGGCGGTACTTAAGAAAATGAAGTACGCATTTTCCCGGTAGAGTTTATAGTGATAAAGTAAATGCATTCGTTAAACAACCGTAATACACCACCTTGTTTCGCGGAACAGTTTGTCTGTAAAAGAAGATGTTTGAAATCAAACTCCTCTAGATCATGAAGTAACTCGCAGTTTCAGTACCCGTAAAGTGGAAATGAAGTGAAAGGTTACTTCTAAAAAGCCCATATGATTTAAAGAATCAAATAGAATTAAAAGGTAGTAAAAATCCATCCCTCTATCACCTGGAACACGGGATTTACCATAGTAGTACTATGACCATGTTTATGCATTTAGTTCTTTTACTCAGTAATTATACTGAGACATCACCAAATACTTGATTGAATTACTTTCTTGCAACTTTTGCAACACCCTAATTAGTAAATGGTGTTCAAATTCTCAGTGAATTTGCATTTACGCCCTATACTCCTACAGAATAATTTGAGTTAGTCAAAATAATGTTGTTTGGTGACAATGAGTGTATATTTTAAATTTTCATTCTCTTTGACTTGCATTACTTTTCTGTTTCGTCATTGTTCTTGTTCTAGAGTATTAATCAGCATGGTATTATTACTGACAGAAAATGTAATTCAGAAGAAAATCGTAAACACGTTCAATTTGTTGATTTGTCGTCTGGATCACTATCAAATTCAGTTTCAGTAGATGTTCAGCGAGCACAAGTTAAATGTTCTAAGGAACATAATTTGAAGAATGTGAATAATAATTGCCTCGAAAATAATGGAGATAATTATCACAATAATTATGGTGCTGTTCCATCTTCAGTTGAAATTATCGCATTGGAACAGCAAATTCATTTAATGAAATTGGATAAAGAATTTTACTTAAAACAGGTACAGTTTTTGAGTAGACTTAGTGATAACTGTATTAATGTGTCTTGTGCTATATAGTAAAATTAACATAAAGAAATTGTGTTGTCTAAAGATGGAGTAGCTTTAGTAAAAATGTTTTTTTAGTTTGGACCAAAGTTGCTGTATACTGATCCTCATATCTACAAATCATGCAGAAAGTAGTGAATATGAGGTACTAAAATAAAGATAATATCAAAAATCGTAGAATGTTTCAAGACAGAAGAAAAAAAAGTGATGTTCAAATGCAGAAATGAAGGTGAAGTTATTTGACAAGGCCAGTTCATCGATGCAAATTATTATATAATTTTCAACAAATTTTGTTAAATTTGATAAGAAAGAATCTGTATAAGGCTTTGTTTAAAAGTGCTGACTAACTTATTCTTACATTAAGTGTAGTCGATATAGTTCACCAACTAAAACAACAGGGCATAATGCATATCCGTTTAGTTTCCTAAAACTACAATTAAGGACTAATTAGCCAACAGCAAACTGTTTATAAACGCATTCAAAGGAAGGATACACTTTCCAACTGATTGGTTCCTATTCTAAAATTAGTCATTCATTCATATCTGTTTTTTCAGGTTAAAAATTTACATTCACTCCCAGAGTGATCACATTCAATTATGACTTCTATGATTAATGAAGTTAGAGAATTATAATCCTAGGAAACGAGAGGATAATTCAGCTTGAAGTGGCTAGTCACAGTCTGCGTAGACAATAGTACAGACACATTAAAGATATCTGCTGTGGAAACCAATTTTCTCCGCGATCATGATAGTGACATTCAAGTCAAAAGGAAAGAAATATAAAATTATGTAGTGCTACATATCTACAGACAACTTAGACTAAGAGAAGAATAAACACATTTAAAGACAAATGCAAGCAGAACTGGATAAGACCCCATGTAGGTGTAAACATCAAAATCCTAATAGATGATATGAATGCCGAACTAGGAGCAGACAGTACAGGAAGAGAAATTATCACTGGTTTAGAGGCGCATTGTAAGATAAATGAGGATGGAGAACTCTTAGCATACTTCTGCTCATTCAGTGATTTTACCAGTTGGACACACTTAATATTAGTGCAATTTTATTGACGGCTTTAAGAGCATTTTTTTGTTTGGACCACTATTCTTTAACTTCGCCGTGGGGTTTACAGTTAAATTTGATGTTAGTTTTTAAGTTAAATGTGTAGATCACCAATAACCACATCACAGCACTGAAGATTTGGTAATATTCCAGTGTTTTTGCAGTTTTTATGTATTTTGACACAACTACTTGTGAAAACACTGTCAGCTGTGCAGTTGATTAAACTGAAACATGGGCTAAAATAATTTCAAAAATAAATATACTTTAAGGACACGTTAAACAGTAATCAATGACAATACAGAACTGTGGAAATAAATTTTTTTATTTGGCTGATAATGGAGACTCATACCATTCCGATGTAGCACTGTAAGGAAAAAAGCCAGAACTTCGAAATTAAAAACCACAACCGATGTAAATGGTACATGAAAAAGGTTCATGTTCCACTTATAATAAGCCAAAAACCTTGAAAAGAAAAAGAAACAAAAATGATGAAATAAAAGTCTAAAGTAAGAGCAAAGCCGAAAAGTCTCTGCATCAGTTCTTTGAAAATGCATAGAGTGAGTTGCTCCATGTAGATGACTGGTACCTTAACAACACAAAGAATGTGGGCGCTAAACATTTTTGAGAGACTAATCTTCACTTCATAAATGATTTTGAATGCAGCATCTCTTGAAAATGAGTGGCCAGCGTTAAGAATATGTTCAGAAATTCTCCTACTAGTCGATTCACTGTTTTTTCGTCTCTCCACAAGAGGCAGGCATTTGTTTTGTTCACCTCATATGTGATATCTTTCCATCTTTCTTCCTATCACACTTAGGTCGAATTTCACTTAAGGTTCGTCTAAAAACAACAAGGTTATTAATTCAAATGCCAATTGATGTTGTAGTTTGTGGGAATAAATTTCTAAGGCAAATTTAACGAAGAACAACAAATCCTGATATTTGCATTGTGATTTTAAAGATTCAACTGGAGAGGGGCCATCGATGGTCTCTACTAGTTAGATCAGTTCTAGGTCAAATTTTTCATTCTCTGATTATCGTTTTCGGCTATTCTCTGTACCTCGAAAACAAAACTGGCACCTTTGTTTCCATAAATCAGGTATATACATATATATATATATTTACCAGTAACACTGATAGGCAAACGTATGGAGTGTAATTCCTCATTATCTGAAATCCATAAAGATTTCATAACCGATCCAATCCTAAGTATTGTGTTTTTCTTTTGTGGTTGTAAAATAACAAATAAATACAATTGGCTTCATTCGTTAAGCTGTTGGACAGATGAAACCTTTAGTTTTTGACTGAAAGGTTTCATTTACTTTTTCCAGTTGTTTAATCTTCGTACAAAGCTGCAAACAGCTGAAGAAACAATTACCTCACAAGAAAAGCTAATAGCTGATTTGGAAAGCAATTCAAGGCAAATAATGAAGGAGAAAGCGACATTAAATCAAACACCTTTACCTGAAGATTTTAACTCTTGTATGAAAACAGATGAAGTGACTAAATTGATTCAAACAGAATTTGAAAAACTAAAGGTATGCATTAATATACTAGTTGAACAGTAGAACATTTCGCTTCATTTATTTATTTTTCGAAATTTTTTATTATATATGACAAGGATTCCTGTATTAAAGAAATGAACTTTTGTCATTGTCTGTTTATGTTGGTAGATATTTATATTCTTCAGGAATCAACATGATTTGTAAAAACTATATTTTGAATGATTCTTTTTTAATGCTTTATTTTCGAGTTCTTAATGGACTACTAATTAGTAGTCTATATATTTTTATAATTTTACACGAAGTAACTTTCCCACTAACCATTACGAGAGCATTCTAATTGTGTACAAAATTCCAGTCTATGACAATGTAACACTGGAACATTCTTCGAAATAGGATACAGCAGTACTGATTAACAACTTAAATTATCACGCTTAATGTATTAAATCTGTTTCATACTGTTCAGCTGATATAGAGTCTATTGCTTTATTATTAGTATTAAACAAGTATATTATTTGAAATATTTGCCCTAAGCTAGTTCTTGTAGCGGTATGGTTTTATGTAATACAAAAAGTGAGATGCTAGAAGTGAATCGAAACCAAACGTTGCCTGATCTACTTCTATATCAGTCGAATGATAAGGTTTCTCGCTCTCTAATACTGAATGAAGCAGGTTCGAATTAAGAGATCCCTTAATGTCTTGAACTGTCGTCTACTACCAGAATATTGAAGTGATGAGATGCCGACAGAGTTCGAAGGTAGGTGTGCTGATGATTGTGGTTCCACTCTGGCCACGTATTTATTTTAACAAAAACCAACCCAAATCTCTCATTCTGATTGAATGAAAATCTTTAAGATAATACCACTGGTTCATATGAGTAGCTGAAAACCACTCACATTAAACAGTAGTTGTTTCCAGCCAGATCAAAGTGATCTAATGACTGCAGAGTCGTTTCACTTATACCTAGCCGACCTCATCACCGATGTGGTCGGTTTAACTCTACTCAGAGAGCTGAATCAATTGAAAACACACTAGCTCGTGATACGTCGAATAGAATTCTTCATTTGAAAATTACACACTTCGGAAGTAAAAAATATTCAAATCACAGAATGTGACCTGATGGATATCATAATATTGATGTATCGGTTGCACACCGGTTGCATTATTTTATGTAATGCAATCATTCTTACATTTCTTGCGTTAGACGAGTATGAATCACACATTATATACCGTTATTTTTTGATATTGTTATTAAATTGACAGTCAATTGATCAAGAATTGCACAATAAAGAAATTAATATACTTCGAGAGCAAAAGGAAAATGCCATATGTGAATGTGCTAAATTAAAAACACAGTTAGAACAAAAAGAATATACATTGAAACAGTTAACAGAAAAAGTTGAAGAAATGCAAATTTTAAATGTGGAACACGATAATCAGTTACGTGGACAAATGAGATCAGTGTTGATGAATTTAGAAATAGAACAAGCTGCTAGGAAAGATGCATCTCTAGAGATTGAAAAGCTTAATGTTCAGCTGGATGTCAGTAAAAAATCTTACTATGAGGTAAGTTGTAGTGGTACAATTGTTTTGACCTTTATGGAGAAGTTGTTTGTACATTATTTCATTATTTTTAAGTAGAATGATAGAATACTTTAGGTAGAAATAATTTATGTTGTCGATAACTTAAGTAATGCATTAACACGTTATCAGTGTAATTTCCCATTTGAAGGTATTCCAGATTACTTCAAACCGTTAATTATAAAGTGAAGCACCACAAAAAACAATTTGGCGAAGGTTTGCAGGGGTTTATTGGGTAGTTAAGACTTCAGAATATTCCAGATAGTGATATGAGATAATGTATGGTGTAATTTTACGTAGATTTGTGGTTTTCAGGATAAAAAAATATTTGTTCCACACCAAAAATGTATAGCATCACTAGAAGACTACTTATTTACTGCATAAGTAGCTAAAGTCTTAAATTGTATTTGTTCTCCCTCATTTCTTCTGAATGTGAACAGCTTCTTCACTAAACTATTTCCATTTTTGTAGCTTGAAGCAAGATTCAATCAAGAAAGAGCTGTTTGGAGAATCAAGGAGGATAATTACGAAAGGAAATTACAGTTGAATGAAACAGCTGAGAGAGAAATAAACGAGTTATTGGTAAATTTAAATTGTGATGTCAGTAAATCAAATACATCATCATCAATAGACTACCATTTACATTGCAAACCACGTATTGCTGTTTTGCTGGAGAAAATAAAAAGTCTCCTAATGGTAAACGATAATCTTCGAAGTGGACTGGAAAACAAGTCTCAAGAGATGGAGGTAGTAACTTCATTTCTAAATAATTTGAATTTATATGACATTTTCTGTTTCATTTTTTCAGCAATTTGTCTTTCGGTGCAATAGAGTTATAATTATTGTATAAATTTAAAGTTTTGAAATCTAATTACCACTTTCGAAGAATGCATAAATTTTGTCAATTGTCTGCTTCTGATCCGTTTTTTAAACTGTATTAAAAAATTACACAGAACTAGTCGTCTTAAAGTGAGACATTTTTAAGATGTAACTACTTTTGTATTCATCATCATCTCTCAAAATTATGCAGGAATGAAACCCTAGTCAAAAGGTGCTAAATGAAATGAAGTGTTTCAAACTGTTAAATTTTATTTCGTTCTTCCGGGTGAAACGATAAAATAAATTTTTCCGATTATAGAGTTCCAAAATTCAATCGCTCTGAGATGCGTTTTCACAATCTGTTATGGAAACAGTTTGAATTTAACTTTAAACATGAAGTAAACTAATTAATTTGATGCCTTAAACATACCAGCTGTTTCTTTGACTATAGTAATTTATAGGTGGTCAGTAACTCGAGGAACAGTATCTTCATGTAGACAAGGCTTTCAGCTAGACTTATTAGGTGAGAGCTAATGACTCTACCTAGTTGTCAAGGGGGAGTAGAACTCGAACACAGCACTTAATGGTTGAAAGTAAGGTGTTTAGATCAGTGAGCCACGTTTTCACATAACAATTAAATATATGTGTAAAACTTAGTCACTGTGGTAGCACACAATTCCCTAATACTTTCTTTAATAGATATATTGCACAATGAAACAGTATTATTTACTGGATGGTTTTTCAAACACATTTTATTGTTCATAATCTTATCAATTATAACTACACAACTTCGAAACTCTGGTTCAATAGTTTTCTTTATTCCTTACTATTTGTTGTCAGGTAGTAGGATTATCCGGATGTGCACAACAAGTGTTAAATCATTCCTTCTACGCGTATTTTCAGTTGGTTTGATAAATAAAGCTTCCGTTATCAATCTCTTCCTCCACCCTGTTATATTAAATTTCTGAGCTGCCATCCTACTGTTTCGTTGTGTGTATTTGCATGTAGTGTTGTAGCTGAACTTTTCTCCAGATTTTTCACCTTATTAGGGTCAAATAATCTAGATTTTGCTAGTTGTTTGTGTCAGTCAGACTAGAGGAACACAATAACCTAGATACATTGTGAAGTGATGATGTGATCCTCTGTCTTCCAGAAGAGTGAAAACGGTTAGTATTTAATCGCTGAAAATTCCAAGGGAGGAAAAATAGAATCACTTACTGGAGCAATGAATAGAACCACGGAAGTGACTACATATCTTAAAAAGGAGCCTACGAATATGATTTACACGGAAGCATATTGAATGCCAGGTTTTTTACCACTTGATCTGCACGCAAGTCAATTCCTTGAGATAAACATTCTGCTCCTCTTTTGAAGGATGAATAACCACCCTTTTGAACAACACCTAGTTTCATGCCATAAATTTGTATGATTTTAGTATGTTAATAAACGCACACTGTTTTCGAGCTGATCAATTCAAAAGACTCTTGAATCGACCATCACTTGCAACCCGCCCAGAAATATTACCAACAGAACGCACACAACTGCCAGTAGACACCACTTCTACAACGAAAACAGAAATTTGAAATGTGATCAAGCTACTGAAGGTCAGGTGGGAAGGCAGAAAGCTTAAACGGAATCCCCACCGAAGCACTAAAAAAACGGACCCAGAAACTGCTGCAGTTGTACGTACCTATCGATTGGAAGAAGGGTTACTTTGTCAAACTACCAAGGAAAGGTGACTTAGGTATCTGAACTGGCGGGGAATCATGCTCTTGTCCAGGTCAAGTAAAAGATGCACCGAATACAGAACACCGCCAGACTGGAACAAGCTGGATTCAGGAAAGGCAAATCATGTGCTGAATAAACTGCAACTCTACGCATTATCATCACAGAAAAAAGCATAGAATGGCAGTCAAACCTCTACCTCAACTTCATCGACTTCGAGAGCGACTTCGACATGCAGCGCTGACATAGAAGTAATTTGGAAACTACTTCAACACTACAGCGTACCTCACGTCTTTATCAACCTCATTCTCCAGTTATATGGAAATGTAATGCGTCAGGTCATCCACAACGGAAGACTCAGCAAGGCGTACTAAGTGAAGACAAGAGTAAGACAACCTGGCTGCCTATTATCACCAACGATGCTATTGTTAATTGTGGTGGTGGTGGTGGGTGGATTATGCGTGAGACTGTGAGCTGGGAGTGAGGAGTCAGGACTACACTGGACGACCAATAAGAAGACTCTAAAAGATCTGGATTTCGCGTGGATGATATGTGTAATTTCATACAAAGTTGAAGACTTACAGGCGAAAAGCAACAAACTGGTTGGAGAGACAGGCATCGAAGACAGGTCTCCAAGTGAAAATAGAGAAGACGGAGGTGATGAAGATACCAGGAGACCAACGGCAGCAACAACTAGTACCAATCACGGGAGAGATTTGAATGAAGTTACTTCCTTCACTTATCCAGCCAGGAAACATCTTGTCAACCACAGGTGGTCGGAAGGGGTGTAGATGTCAAAGCCAGCCAGCCAGAATCGAAAGGGTAAGATACGCCTTCATCAACGTGAAACCAGTCTGGAAATCTTCTCCACTCAGCCAGCATAAAGAACAAGATTCGGATTTTCAACACCAATGTGAAGTCTGTCAGTGCTTCTATACGGGTGAGAAACTTGGCGTGTGTGTGTCACGAAAAGGGTTTCCAACAAGTCACAGCAGCCTTTTATCAACAGCTACCTTTGCTTGCTTCCCAGTGAAGATCAAATGGCCGGCTGGCTGGCCAGAAAGAATTAGCAACAAGAAACTTTGCAGTGGAACAAACCAACAGGCAAGAGTCGATTGCTCAACAAATATGCAGAGGAAAATGGAGATGGATCGGGCGTGTGTTGAGGAGGCCGTCGAATGACATCACGCGCAATGCAGGCCACTGATGGAGTATGATCTGAATGGGAAGCGACGAGTGGTTCGTTGGTGCGAGGGTGATTTAGAGGAGTTAGTGTGAGTTGGAGGATGAGATGAGAGATTATGTAGAATTGTGGAGCCATCTGAGGAGGATGGCAGAAAATAGAAGAAAGTGGAGATGTGTTGTTGAAGTCCTATGTTCCACTCGTAACTCAAGGGAATAATAATAAATAATAATCATACTATTTTCGAGTAATTGAGTAGTGTAGGATTGAGACGAAAATAATCAAACCTACTTTTGTTATTAAGTTGTTTATCTGTACCGCAAAATTCAATGTCGGTAAGAAACGAAAGCGAACTGCTAACTAAGCTGGCACTTCGATATTGTCCAATTTTGTTTAAAATAAATATTATCCACTTTTCAAAGTATTTAACAGTTCAAATACCTCAATATTAACAGCGGATATTTGTCCATCTGGTTTACTCAATACAAACATGCTCCAAAAATATACATTGCTATAGACAAGTCAGTTTTCCACAATCCATGTCTCTTATTCCCTAGTGAAGTAAAGAAAGATTGGCCTAACTTAATTCTTTTAATCAGGCTTACATGAGTGACTAATTAGATAGACAAATAGTAATAATGAAATTAATAATTTAAGATGAGTTGACAATTAATTACATTAGAAGCAATTCGGATTTTAGTGGAACTGTGGTACTTTGGTGTAAACACTCGACTTCCAATCACTAGGCCACGAAGTTGAATGCCACCTCACCTACTGGGGCTTAGGCAGCGAAGGAGTATTATTAGCTCATCTACAGCAGGTGTGGCTTATTACCAACTGTATAGAAGTGCTACATAAGTATTACCACTTGAGAACTGAAGATGAATTAGACTAGCTAAACAGCAATCTTGTTAGGTTGCATAAATTTAAACATTTGCGATGTTTACTGCTTCTATCATACAAAAAAGTGTAATTTGGACCAAAGTAGCAGTAATTTGGATAGAAGTATCAGTGTAAGTAGTTTTTGTACTATTCTTCCGGATTCGATATTTATTACCTTTGTATGTTCTACGAGGGAATTATTTTTCATCAAATGATCAAGTTGACGTATTCCTTTTTTCCTTCTTTTCAAGTGGATTTTTATCATGTATGCCGTGCACTTTATACTGTTTACTCATCCTATTGTTTTCTTTTTTTTTTAACTGTCACTATGACCTGGTTCAAATTACCTTGATGTGTTCATAACTCTGTGCATTTTATTCTTCATTTCTCTGTGCGTTTGCATGACTTTATAGCTAGAAGTTCTTTACTTGTTTTTTTTTGCATTTCATCTTCATTTCTTGTCTTTTTTGTATTTTGCTTCACTGTAATTTAGCGCATAATTTAATTTACATCTACATATCGTCTATACATAATTCCAAATTAATGTAATTTGATCTGATCTCATCTCGATTTCCTCGTCTTCCCGTAGATATATGTGTTCGATACATTATGTTTACTTGGAAAATAATGCCTCGGCATGAGTTTATGAATGTGTGCGTGTGTGTATCGATCTTAATAGACTGCTTATATAGTTTATACTAGAAATTTGAAGTCATTCGAGATATTTGACACTAACCTACTTCTTTGAAATGTCTATTATATATATTATCAAATCTTTAAATTCTGGTATGTTCGGAGGACAGAATTCACAGATATAGAAATTCACTACCGTCGTGATTTAAGGGTTGTTTTCATCACAAGTGGAAATCAGCTGTGAAGCAGTTTAACAAAGTCTAATGAGAAGAAAAAACGGTTTTTGTCTAGACTAAATAAAGATTTAATGGTTTGAAAAATATTTGAGCATTTACAATAATTGGTAAACATTTTGATTTGTCATAGTTATAGTCTGTTTAGTTGTACTCACCTAAAATGATGTCAGAGATCAGACATAATATTAATGATTCTAAATACGGATATCCTTATGAAGAAAACTAGTTTTGTTTATTTTATTCTTTTGTAACTGACTTGTAATCACACAGTTGAGGCTTATTTCACTAACATTATTGATGCATTTTATCTCTTTGTTGTGACATATCAGTGTAGGTTGCAGGTAAACCCAAAATAGGATTCCATCACTAGCCACTATCATGGGGTAACCACCACTGTTTCATAGTAGTTAAAGAAAAATATCATGAGATAACCGTCGTTATAAGTTTATTTGACTGGTAATCACAAAAAACCCTACTTCTGAATTCATCTTCTTTTTAATTGGCTCATTAATTTCATATAGTCGATCAGATCCCTACATACCAACACTTGAGAGTTTATCTGAAGCACACTGGTGACTGACTACGTGATGAAGTCCCTGGAGCTTCTGTGATAAAGCCTCACTAGTCGGGTCCACTAAACTGAGTTGAAAGACAAATAATCACCGCTGATATTGACTGGTGGTGGTGCTGAATATCGTGAGTTGGCAGAAGTTACAATCTATGAGCGACTGAATTCCATTCCATGGGCTGAATGGTCATTAAGGTCGTCTCGAAACTTAAAGATTTTTGGTTCTATACCTAGGGATAGGACCATGAATGCGTACTGCTAAAGAGTCTTAAGTTAGCCCAAGATGAAATAGATGTCCAGTACTCCTTTTGTGTTGGGTTCTGCTAAATTACATTACACGCGACAAGGTCAATTTTGAATATATTTGTTTGTGTCTGCCATAGGTGAGGTATTCTATACAAATAATACTGTGGCAGCCCTTTTGCCACACTGATTATCCTGACCTGGGGATTCATTTCATCACCACCTATCATATCACTACGGTAAATAAAGATTTTTCATTCTTTTCTCCATTATGGATAAGATTTTATTTTGATAAATCACACAGTAATATTAACTGATGACGTTTCGAGCAAAAATTATTGCTCATAATCATATCAAGTTACTCACACAACTTGTTATGATTATGAGCAATAATTTGTGCTCTAAATGTCATCAGTTAATATTACTGTGTAACACTGTGTGATTTATCAAAATAAAATCTTATCCATAATGGAGTTACACTCTACCACAGTGCCCAAGTTTTATACTTATTTTCATTCTTTTGTGTGTGTAGGAATTCACTATCCATTAAACGATCGAAATAAATAAAAATTTAAAGAGCATTTTTATGCATTCTACTCACTTAGTCCATCACCTTCATAAAGATTCAACTCACTGACTTGAAAACCTTTCAAACAACTTAGAGACTAACTTTTGGAACCGTTGGACTACATTTTCTAGCTCAAGTGGATAATTTTGATTTGGTTGTGTTCTTTGAGGTGGTTACTAATTAATTCTCGTTAAATTGTTTAATGTTTAATTTAATGTCATCTACTTTCTCATAGTGTTTCTTTCTTTTTTCTTTGCTTTTTCGTTTTCACATTTAATTGTGAACAGGGATTTAATAAAGCCATCAAAAAAGAAATGTTTAGTTGTGAACAGACAAGTTATTTACACCAAACACTTGCACAAAAAGATATTCAAATTCATTCACTACATAAACAATTAAGTGAAGTCGAAAAAGAAGCTCAGTTATATAAACAAGAAAGAGACAGATTAGAAAATGAACGTAATGTACTTTGCGAAGATTTAGAGCGTATTTTAACAAGGAGACAGGTTAGTTGATTTGACTTGGTTATTATTTTTTTTTGGCTGCTATTATGGGAAGATGCTCCCAAATCAGGGGGAAAGTTTAGATAAGATCTTTACAAGATTTTTTGTCAGTAGCACCCTCCACATCTGTGCTTCAAAAGAGCAGTTGAAAGAAAAGTAGTATAATTATAATGATATTGAATATATTCAGTTGATAAGCCACGAATTAGTTTGTGTTCCTGTACGATTATATCCCATCAAAGTTATTGAAATCGGATTAGTCAGTCATCTTACAGATTTACAGAGTTCATGTCAACAGCTTGACTTTTGATTGGACAGAATATCGAGCCAGGCTATTGGTGTACATAATACCAATCTAACTCCTGAAAAATGTGTTCCAGTGAAACTTAATTCTTCTTTATTAATTAATAAATGGTTACATTGTCCACATATAGCGCTATTTAAATAAATTTAATCCAGCTACTCATTCGTATTTTTTTACTATGATTACATATATTTGAAAAAAATCGAATTAACATTGTTTCTGAAATGATTATAAAGCAAGAATAATTATTGTGCTGAAATACTTTTTGAAAAATACCCTTTCTTTCCTATGTGTCAACATCAGTGAATGTCTTGTGTTAAATAAACAGGTTACTTCTTAATTGATTATTATTGTTTACAAAGACACCGCTTTTATTACATTTCTGTGCCGCGATTGATTATCGGATTCCTTTGATCTTCTAATTATTTCCCTTTCATTGTTTATAGTGTACAGGTTACAGTAAGTTATTCAGATGTGAAACAAGTCAGTTATATTTTCTCGCTTAGGTACTTCCTATGATTATTTGCATACTATCGCGTTTTGAATGAAATTCACACTTTATAAAGAATTGAAAAGAAACCAGAAAGATATGCGATTCCTTTGCATTATTAGTTATCTCACGTATGGTTCACAAACTTGTGAAATTAAGGTTTAGTAGGGGCGCGTGATATCCGACTATCGATCAAACAGCGTGTGTACTGCTCAGCATTTCTGTCTGTCGTCCTTTATGGCTGTGAGTGAGACATGGCCACTGAAAGTGGAAGACATGAAAAGGCTAGCTGTCTTTTATCATAGGTGCCTGCGTTCTATCTCTTATGTCAGGTAGTGTAATATGGTGAGGTTAGACTTCAGATGAGTGCCAGATAATGAAGAGAAATCAATCGACAAGGCTGTGAAGTCACACCATTTGAAACGTTTAGAAAATGTGTTACGTATGCTTAGGTATCGCCTTCGTCGACGGGCAATGTAAGCTGACATAATATGGATCAGGCTGGAAAAAAGCTCGTAGTGGTGGTCAAACCAAAACATGGCTTCATCAGTCAGTGAAATCCGTAACAGTTAGTTTAAGCAGCCTAGGAAAGTGTAGACTGGATGGCTGGTTGTGATCCTCGCGATGGTAAGAACCAATGGTGGCTGAAGACAATTGGTGATATAGCTCAAAATCGTTGTTAATTGCTGGCGCAGATGCATTCATTTCGTGTGATTTATAATATCCAATGAAACTCTCTTGTTTCTCCATATTAATATTCTTTTTCCCTCACACTTCGGTTTACTATATCTCTTTCGAATCTATATGTATTCTCTACTCTTGCTTTGTGTGTTACATGGAGTGTGGTAATTTGAACTGCTGCGCATCTGTGCCAAGTTCTACGTTGAAACCAGTCAGTCAGTCAGTGAATACGGGAGGTAATAAATAGTGAGTCACATGAAAGTTGTATGCTCGTGGTTATTAAAGCAGTCAGTTGATTCCAAATAAGAGAAGTGAATATATTTTTCGCAATAACATCTTGCACTTAACGATGTTTTCTGGGTTTTCATTCTCCTCTAGGTGGTTTTTTATGTCATTCTAATCACGACTGTATTAATAAAATTTCGCTTTCCGCTTAGGTGTTAAGATTATTAAAGTTGTTATTAACTCACCCACATTTCAGTTTTGTTTCATTTTGCCTATTGTTTAGAGTTTGGCCAGATTGCGTGAATATATTTTATCTTTACTACAACAAGTACAGCCTAATCAAAGCTTCACTGCTACAAGACAAATGCAAAACCAGAATTGTATTTCACTGGACAAAGATACAAAGTGTGGTTTTAATTTTCCAGGGAAATCAGATTTTCATAATCAAACATCAAGTGATTATCTGCGTGATATGAATCGAGTTTCTAATATTCATCAACAAGTTTATGATATTCTACGTTCACAGTAAAACTCACAACTAAATGACTTTTCCAAAAGATGCCCAAAATTATTCTTCTCATTGTGAAGATAACTTATTCAATTGTACGAGTGATTATCATTCTTATTTAGTCATGCTTTGGTTTTAAAATTTGTTTGTTTTTAATTGTGCCAAAATATTCAATAAATCTATAATTGCCGGAAATTCTCATATCAGGTTAAGTAGGGGATAACAGAACTGTGATTTGAAACCTTTATTACTCACTCTTCCTGTTGTTTTCCTTTTTGAAAGTAACGCTTCTTTTTTTTTAAATAGTCGACTTTTTTCAAATTTAATTTATGAAAATGATTTAATTTTATTGATAAGTTTTAACGAGATTTTCATTTTTGTATACTTACTGTTTATTAAAATCAGGTTTTAAGATAATATTATATTTCATTGTATCTCACCTGGCGTACAGATGAGTTTCACTGACAAATCATTAGTGACCTGTTATTTCATCAGGTCAAAATACAGAAGAACATTCTTAAAATGTTTACATGCTTCGATGTATAAACACTTTCTTTGATATGTTTTCACAAATCTGCATGCAAACTCTTCGTGATCGATAGTTTTGTTCATCTTACTGTTCTGAGATTAGTTTAGTTTCTATCATGTCGTCAATTTCTCTGTTTTCACTAGAGAAATTCTCCGTCTCCCTTTCAATAGTTGCTACTGATATTGTTTACAGGTGTCCATTATGACGGTTTTATTGGTAACTCACGATTAATACAACTCTGGATGCAGGTTATGCTTCACCTCAACAGAATCACGAAAGCTGTTTTCGTTTTAAGCAACAAATGTCATTTGTATCTGATAACAAAGAATTCGCGTACGCAGGCACCAATTCCAACACAATCATTATGTGTCATTTGTGTTCATATTCAAAAATGCCTCACATAAGCTAATATGGCACTTCAAGCAAAATGAGGTCAATGTGTATTCTGGGTGAATTGTGCACAACACAGTTTTATTTTTAAGCATGGCATTTTGTAACAGATGAATACTTTCATTTTCAGCCAAGTCCAGTACTTTACGGTTATAGAAAACCTTCAGAACCGTGTGAATATTACGACAACGTCCACACAAAGTGTTCATACAGTGCATGCATTAATATAGAGTTTCATTGCGGTCTGTGTATCACCGCTATCGCATAGTGTATAAGTAATGGACACATCATAAGCTTCTAATGTTTTCATACTACTGGATACTGTGTTGCACAATGGATATTTGGTATAAGGTAAAAAATTATCGCTTTTCTCAAATTTCTACAAACAATCCCGGTCACATAAGGGGAGACAACTCAAAATAACATGGTTTGTGGAGGCCTTCTTGCAAAAACCTAAAATTGTTCAAAATCCTTCCCATCTACTGCACCATTGAGATTTTGTTATGTTCATTGCAAAAAAATATGATCCAAATCAACGGGTAATTCACGTGAAATTATGTTGTCCTTCTCAATTTATCGTCCTTTCCTTGGTGTAATTCACATGACTTCTCCATCATATCTGGAAAACAATAAGCGGCAGTAAATTCATCAGGAGTTCCATGTTTGAAGATTATATCGTTACTTTTAATATTTACTGTGTAACTTGAACCTTTCTTTGATTACTAAAAACGCCTTGAATGACATTCAGTAACTTGTTAGTCTGGAAAATAAATAGACATTGCGAATATTGGTTTATGTGTTATTATATTAACTTATTTCAACAAGATATCATTGTCAAGTTTCTTAAAATTAGCATCATAAATTCTCCTATGAAGCAATAATGCACGGTGAAAGAACATACTTTATGTGATAACGTCTTCTTTAGATTTTACGGCTATGTATTCATATCAGTATAGGAATAACTGTCTTGAAAATAAAAGACAATTCAGCGAAGAATGTTTTCTCTATCGAGGAAATCATCTTCAGAGGCTGTATAGTCGAATTTACTTTTTACCAAATATGTATTGTAGTCTGCAGCGACTCAGACAAGTCCTCATGGAAATTGGATATCCTCCAAGATTCACCGAGAAAAACATGAAGTTAAAGCAAAAGCCTGAAAGAACCTAGACGGTGCCGAAGAAACTGCTATTAATGAACGCTGAATTTAAACGTGACACCACTGCTGAGATTTTGAAGAGCCGCTTATGCAGATCACTCAGAAAAGCCTTCTTTGCGACTGAGATGTGGATCGATTTCTACAGCCGACAAATGATCAATGGATGTGTGAAGGATAAACTGCCGCTTTGGGACACTTCACTGTGTGTTTATAAATTCACCTGCTCGTGTGGAGCTAGTTATATTGGCCTCAAAAACCTCACACTTTCCAAACGCATCTCTGAACATTATCCGGCATGGTTAGCGAAAGGACAATCCAAGACAGTTACTAGCTCAATTCTCAAGCACTTGGTGAACCCACGCCATGTAGCTCCACCAGAATCGTCTTACGAGATTATCTGCTAGGTGAGGCCAAATGGTACAAAGGGCGATAGGTTTCAGGATTTGTGTATGGCGGAGGAATTAGCAATTCGTCAATAAAACCCCGAACTCTGTATACAGAAAAAGCTTATTCAGTCTCTTATTCTACCATGGTCTTAACCTCTTCACTAGTCATCCACTTTAAATTTTATTGTTTTATTTTTAATCTTTAATTTTGCTCTTGGTTTTATTTTAATTTAATAATTTATTCGCTATTATCACTCTCATATATTCCTTTTGAACATTTTCTCACCGTCTTCACACTTGTTAGACTTGACACTCAACTAACTCTTTCTTCCCTTTTGCCGCTGAGTACTACGTAATTTACAACTTTTATTTTTACTTCTAAAGCCACTCCTGAGTAATTGTATCAATTATGTCACCCCCTATTACTCAGTAATAGACCACTATACTTTTCTAGCAAACATAAATACGACAGTACAGCCTCTGAAGATGATTTTGTCGATAAAAAAATATTCTTCGCTGAATAACTGTCTGTTATCATTAGTCATGTTCTTATTTTCAATGAAGATTTCGTGGCGAACGGACATCAGTGAGAGAATCACTGAAAACCCAGGAGCACTGGACAGTCGTTCCGTCCCAATTTGATGCTCTTCAGCAATGCATAACTATGACCTTACCGAGGACCGAACCCAGAACCTTCAGGTTTCGAGGCCTGTGGTCGGTGGGGTAAGAGCTGAAAAACACCAGCGATGAAACTTCTGTTCTTTGCTTATTAGGGAATAGAGTGCTAAAACGTGAGTGCTTAGATGTCTCTGGTGGGCAACTACGCCTGTTATTAGTAGTGGCCTTTGAACCATCAACGTTACTGAGTACGTAAAAACTTGTAAAATTTTGCATCAAGTAGTTTTGTAATTATTACAAAAACAAACTTTAAATGTAACTAGCCATCATAAAAGTGATGCGGAAAAATGCAACCGTTTCTTTCTTGGTTCAGTCTTGCAAGTCTAAAGGATAAAAGCACTTATCCTTAAGGGTGACATGCTTTATAGTGCACTAATGCAACCAGTGGAATGCATTAATCTATTTAAAAGATTCGTACATTGCAGAAGTATTTCATCAATATTTTAGAAGCTCAGAATAGTCAGATCACAACATATGAGTATATGAAAACGAGCGGTTAACATCAAATTTTATGCTGATTGGAATACTGTTGATAAGTGTACTTCTGTTTATCGAAATCATGTGGTGGATGATGACGAGAGTAAAATTGAAATCTGGACTGCAGGAAGATTTTCACTAGTGTCCTCCAAATCAATAGTCGGATACTCACCACCCGGGGATCTTTAGCATTACTTAACCATTACCCCACTGATATGGAGTTCTAGAATGACATCGTGACCAATTGCGTGCAAGAAGTTGTGTGGAAGAATAAATGCTCACTAAGAGCATTTGGTGGAGGTGGCTCTACACTTGGCGAATATACCGGGGTTTCTCACCAGAATGGTTAGTCTAACTTGAGATACCGTTTAAACGTTTCCAAGGTAATTAAGTAGGCCTGATTGCAACTGTCTAAATCCATTACTGTAGGGCATATTAGACGATAGATTGTATCAGCATTTAGACTGGTGTTCGATATTGTAGTCTACTAGAATTGTCAAGATGTTGGTTTTAAGAAATCTAAGTTTACAATGAATGGTATTTATTTTATCAGTGTATTAATGGCCGTGTTTTGTTTTACACCGTGATGTTTAAAGAGTAATCGGAATATAACAGATATAGGTTTACAAGAAATGCGATAACATTTAAAAAATTGGGCTCTTTGGCATGAACTTCGATCGAACAATATGAAGACAAATTGTTTTAATCATGTAATACATTTATACAATAGGTTTCAAACAACCTGATCACACACATGATTGTCATGAGAATTTGCATAAAAAAATAATAAAGTAGTGAAATTACTGCCTGGTTAGTAGCCAGGTGTTGTAGCTCAATTGGTAGAGCGCCAGATGAGTAATTCGGGGCCCATGGTTGAGACTTTGCCGCAACCCAAAACCATAATATATTTAACAGTCCTTTAAGGAATAAGAAAATAAACATAGGTTAAGTGACTACCACGAAGTTAAAAACAGTACATCGAATAGAGTACAATAGTTCAATGATTTTTGTTTGAAAATTTGATATCCTAAGAAAGCTTTTTAATTTTTTTAAAATTTCTTTTGAATTTTTTATTTTATTATAGCTTGAGTCCACATAGTATTTTTGATACAAGTATGAAATTTTCAGCATGTGATATCGGTAGCCCAAATTTCGCAGGCCGACCATAGATATCGGGTGTGCGTCGGCCGAGGATCGAACCCCGGACCATGTGCATGGTCGGCAAGCGTCCTAACCGCTGTGCCACCGACGATATTGAGAAAAAAACAGTACTGAACTGTTGAAGCTGGCTTTTCCACAGCTGAGAAGTCTTAATAGCTAACTAAATTTCGGTATTTATGTAATTTTTTATGCAAATCACTCATCTGAGAACCGATAGGTTGGGTGTGAGGACAGATACTCACCGATGACACTAGCTAGTGGTTGCACTAAATCGTGAATTGTTTGAAGTTGGAATTAATGGGCCATTGGATCGTGTTACAGTGGCTTAGTGGTCTAAAAGCGCGACGTGTAAACAGAAGGGGCTGGATTCGAACCCTGACGGTGGGTGCGAACTGATGAAGAGTCCTAAACTAGGATGGAACAGATGTCCAGTACTTTCAGGTTTTCCAATGTTCCTCTAACCGTTGTCAGCTTATTACGAAATCCTGTGATCAATTGTATCTAATCCCTGCAAGCCAACACTTGGAAACCATATAGAAAGTCAGTTATCTTAAGCACCATTACTATGTAGCAGCTTAAAAATCACTAATTTTTAATGCAGGTCACAGAAACAATATGCTGCCAAATAAGAAAAGCACGAATAAGTACAAATAAAATCTGCAATTGCTGGAAAGAAGCAATCATCCTAGCTTATAAACAGGGAAACAGTATATCAGTTGAACTCGAGAAAAAAAGTGAAAATGATCTCTTTTTGGATCTACACAGACCTCAGTAAACAATACAAGTTAATTTGTTGATGTCATCTCACATTACATTTACAGCCTAACATGAACTTGTAAATGTACGGTTTCACTAGTACAACTGCTAAACACGTTAGTTTCTTAGGTCACGCTTTTAATACACTTAATATACAGAACAATCGTGTTTACTTATTTTTGAGGAAACCGATATGATCTAATGACTATAAGCAATTTTGTATTTACAGAAAGTTTGTTAGTTAGTTAAATACACATAATTTCCTAGTATTTGACTTATTAGTATATTCATCCTCATCATCTTTATTTTTGTCTGCCGGACTGATATCCTGATGGTCTGCCCAGGGAGTTAAGTCTGTTCGTTAGCTTTTTTTTGTGCATAACTTTATTTCAGCTCACCTCCACTTCCATATATTTTGAGTGCTTCCTCGAAATTGCATTGATATCATGTATAAATAGATAAATAAGTAAATTCTGTTTCTGTTTTGCTATTCAATACTGAATATCCGGGTTTCGGTCGGTCGGTCGGTTTTTGACATAGAACTTTGCACATATGTGCGGCAGTTCAAGTCGCCACACTCCATGTAGCACACAAAGCAAGAGAAGAAAGTAGAAGAAATGCATAATATAGACAGTAAACAGAGGTGTGAGACAAAGGTATAGTAATAACGAAGAACAAAACAGTTTCATTGGATATCATAAGTCACAAGGAGTGGATGCATCTGCGCCACTGAGAACGAATTTGAGCCATGTCATCAATTGTTTCCAACCATTGGTTTTTACCGTCCCGAGGACCCCAACCAGGAAGTCTACACCTTCCTACGTGGCTTAGACTAACTTTTGTGGATTTCATTGACTGGTGCCATGTTTCCGTTTGACCGCCGCTAGCTCTTTTCCAGCCTGGCCCTATATCAGCTAACATTGCCTGTCGAGGAAGGCGATGACTAGGCATACGTAGCACATGTCCTAACCATCTCAGTCGATGTAATTTCACCGTTTCGTCGATTGATTTCCCCGCCTTACCTAGCATTCGACGCTTAACCTCAATATTGCTCACCTTATTATACCACTTCACGCGGGAGATAGAACGCAGATACCTATGATCGAACACAGCTAATCTTTTCATGTCTTCTGCTCTCAATGGCCATGTCTCACAGCCATAAAGGAGGAC